TGGCTGCTCCCGGTGCCTGGAAAGGTCAAAGGGGTAAAGTGCTCAAATGTCGAGCTGCTCCGTCAGAGCATAAATGTGCGAGCATTTCGCTCTTTGAGAACTGTTTGCCTAAACATTACTGGATGTTAATTTAATGGCCATCACGTATACATTCAGGGTACAAGTAGAAATCCTGGGTTCAGCATTTGGGATGGAATCCATATTTGTGACTGAGCGAGAGCTGCATATAAATAGGGTTGCTTTTAGGATTGACCTCACTCTGGGTTTGCTAACAGTTGTAAATGAAGATCGTAGATCTGGTTTCCAATCAAGAGTTGACATCTTGATGCCTTTGGCATTCCGCTGGTTTATTGAATAAGGGTTTTTGTCTGACTGGTGCTGCTTATTTCTTTTCCTGTGGTGTGTTTAATGTTCTTTTCTTGTGACATGTGAACACACCAATTCACTAACGCTTTTCCTGACCTGTGAGACATTTTGCAACTTCAGTGTGGTCTATAGTGCTGTGCTGCTGCTAAAGATGTGACTTCTCAATTATTTTTTAATCTTGGTTTTGCCTGATCTTGTATTTTATCACGGACCGCTTAGGGGTTTTAATATATTCAATGACAGCAACCCTCTATCCCATATCTCTGCTTCATGCTTGCTTGGCTTCTTGCATATTGTTACCATCCCATGCATCAGGGAGAGCTGTTTAGCACACTCCTTGCGTTCAGCATCCTGCAGACTGTGGCCAGTCTTCAGAATTATGGGATCTGCAGTTTAAAACATCTGGAAAGTGCTAGGAAAGCGGGTATATAAAGCGTATGGTTTCTGGCATGCAGCAGGAAATGGAATCCCTGTTGTCTCTTTCCCAAACAAACTTGCTCCTGATTCTCATTTGTGGACTTGCCTGTTCTCGTTAAAAACCCAGCAGATTCCACAGTGTCATGCTCTGCATATCCCTAATCCTAGGGAGGGGAATCAAAACCTCCAGCATCTCCTGTCACCAGCGGCTTGGCCTCCATGGCTGAGGGAATCCCATGACCTTTCTCAAGAACTGATGGATCAGGGAGGCCACTGTTCTTCAAAACTGGCTGGACTCCAGCGTTTCTCTCCCTGAGGCCGTGCTGCTGCAGGAAACAAAGGGAACCACTGCTGGGCATAGTGTGGAGATAAAAACGCAACAGGACGAAGGGGACTGATAATCTGTAAAGCAAAGCATGCTATCTGACCTGCAACTGTTCCTGTCTGGCAGGGAAAAGCCGCGTTTCAGTTCTGTCCAACCTCAGGCTGGTGGTAGCGTCAGGGGCTCCAGCTCTGGAGAGGAGTCCCCCAGCGAGGAGAGAGCAGTGCAGATCTGTGCCAATTGGCCACGCAGAGCCTCTTGGGGAAGCTCTCACTGGAGCCAGTGCCAGCCCCAAGTGAAGTGGCTATAGACCTGGCTCAGCAGGAACGTGCAAAGGGGGTGTTCTCCCGGCCTGCTCCTGCTCTCCTTGGGCGCTGTACGCCAAGTGGAAGTGGGTCGGATGGTGGGTCCCAGCTTGGTCCGGGACCCTCAAATACACGACTGAGCCCTCCCGTGAAGCCACCCGGTCAGTCTCCAAGGACACGTTTGCCAAGATTTGGCGCCGAGGAAGGGGAACAGCGATGGATGGAGACACCTGGATGAGAACCGGGCGAGAAGATGCTGGAGGAAGGCGCAGCTGGGAGAAAGTTCTCTGCTGCAGGAAGAGGGTGGCCAACCAGACTCCTTGAGCACCCGGGGACTCTGAAGGGCACCTGGAGAGTCAGCCTGCTAACGTCCATGTGCACAAGCAGGCCCGCGACTCTCCCGCTACCCCCAGGCCCACAGGAAGTGCTCTGCCTCATTCCAGGCCAATGTAAACAGGGAGGCAGCGCTGGCTTTGCATTTCGTCTTTTAGCCCTCTTAGCCTGCCAGCACTGCAGGGCTCTTAGAAGCAGACTTTGGCCTTGGCGGAGATGGAATTGTGAATCTTCTTCAGCCCAGTCTTGCAGAGCTGTGCATTATATCTGCGTTTCTGGCAGAGTGTTGGCAGCAAACATGGGTGCCGGCTGATATTTACTGGCACTGTGTTGTCCAGAGTATGGAAGCTGAGTGTCACATTCCAGTTTGGAGACGCTCTCGGGGGTGCCTTTCATCAGGACCAGTGGCAAAAGGAATGGGGCCCCAAACCCCAAAGCACCAGTATGTTTTAGCGGAAAGCTCTTAGTGCCAGGAACTGAACCTGAAGTTGGAATTCCACCAGCACAAGCAGACTGGTGGACCTGAGCCTGCTTGGCCAGGAAGCTGTGGGCGGAAAGTGCTTTTTGCCAGTAACTCATTCAGCCTTTTGGATCGGGCATGAAAGAGGCATTAAAGCTGGGAAACCACCGAGGGAGCCCCAGGTTTAGCCCCCAGGAAGGCGGGATGTGGCCCCCCAGGCCTGAGGTGTTGCATCCCTGCTGTCACTAGTAGCAGTCTCGGTTCTCCAGGTCTTTAAGAGAACAAAATGGCACCATTCACCACAGGGTCCCCTTGGAGCAGTTTGTAGAAGTATAAAATCTGTGGCCAGCGAGTTCCAGGGGTCACTGAGTGAATGCTGCTTTCTCCTGGGAGATCAACTATAGAACACGGCAGGAGAGAGGCAGAATGCCTGCGATGAAGGGGCCGTGGCATAGGAGCGTCCGAGGCTGCGGGATTTTGTGGCAGCTTCGCCTGGCATCCAGTACTAACAAGCAGTCCCTATCGCACATCGGTTGGAATCGCCCCTTGCCTGAGACATCAAGGGCTTTACGCAAGCACTGCTGGGTGTGGGAGCTGGGCTCTGGATGTTGCCAGATCTGCTGGCACTCCAAACACGGCCCCGTGCACCTGGACATGCCCTTGAGGGGTGGGTTTGGCCAGGCCAGTCCCATACCAGGGGGAAGGGGAAGGGACAGAGTTCTGCTCCTCAGCCTGCTCTTCTCCCCTGGTTCCGCACTGATGGCAGAGCTCTTACGGTTAAGTGAGTTTGTCTCTTGTGAAGGCAGAACTGCAGGGTTCAGTCACACAGACCTATTAACCTGGATGAAAATGAATTAATGTGTTTTTAAAACAAAATATCTCAGAGATGCATGGCCCTTAACATACACCCCATGCTTCAGATATCTTCAAAAGCTTGGCTCCGCCCCCCCACCCGTGTGTGTGTGTGTGTGTGTGTGTGTGTGTGTGTGTGTGTGAGAGAGAGAGAGAGAGAGAGAGAGAGAGAGAGAGAGAGAGAGAGAGAGAAAGAGATGTTGAACTCCATCCCCAAAACAGGCTTCTTGCCCTGAAGCACCATGGATAGCTCCTATAAAGCCCAGAATAAAAACTGCACTGGATAAAGGGCCCCACTGACAAAGGAGACATGGGTCTATCTTGACACACACACACACACACACACACACACACACACACCCCAATCAGTACACTCACTCGTTTCACCCTTGCACCTCATTAAAACTGGGACTCTCATGAGCCAGCTGATTGGAAAACGCAGCTTAACTTCTCATTAATCAGTCACAAGTGGCTGTCCTAGTAATATGGAAAGAAAGAAATGGGACTTGGGCATTTTCCTTTCGACCTTGGCAGGCATTTTTCATTAAAATTGCTCTTCTGCTCATCCACATATCCATCAAATCACAGAGTGCTCCTCTCTAGAGATGCCAAGGAAATGATTGACCCCATGAACTTTCTATCCTGCACTTAATTATGATTACTGCTGCTTAAAATTTTAATCATGTAGAGCAGTGATTGAGTAAACTGCCTTATCTGGGAGTTAAGCTGGTTTTATTCCATATAGGAGACCTCTGGGGAATTCTCTGTATTTCTCCCTTGCAAAAGATGGGCCAGTAAATAAAGAGCATTTGCTGTGTCGAATGAACTGTAGATTGTTCACCATGGTTTGTTATCGTGGCCAGGTTCCCCAATTAAAGATTGCTCACCTTGATTTGTAGGCTATATAACCAGGAGTAATTTGGTCTTTGCCAGAAGGCTAGTCTTTTGGTACAGTATTACTGAATTTATTTATTTATTTATTTAAAACATTTCTATGCTGCCCCCACACTTAAATGATGGAACACCTCTTTCTCTTATTCAGTGCACATGTGTATGCGAAATCATTGGTGATTTGTAGCTGACTGGGTGAATTGTCCCTTTTCCCATGAGAATTGCTTGCATCGCTGCCACATTTCTTGTTACCTGAACTTTGCTCCCCATGAGATGCCAGTTATCCCTTGATCCTGCAATTCAGTGAATGCAAACCCCAGTATTAAATGAGTGCAAACCCTATTTCTGTCCAGAAAATGAAATAACAATTTGGCAATTTTCCTGGGACTGGGGAAGATGGCATGAAATGTGGCAAAATGGAGGGAGGAAGGGTTATTGCTGCTTGTGAAACAGGATGTGCCTTGCTTGCAGCTGATCCCCGTTTTCTTTTACCAGAATCTATCTGGGGATGATTCTATGGCGCCCCACTTATGGAATGCGCTCCCCAGAGAGGTCTGCCTGGCGCCGTCATTTGTTTTTTGACACCAGGCCAAGACCTTTTTATTTCGACAATATTTTAATAACTGTTAACATCTTTTACTGGTTTTAATTTCTGCAGCCAGGGGGAATCTGGACTTTACATATATTATTTATATGTTGTTTATTATGCTGGAAGCCATCCCGAGGCTTATGCGAATGGGATGGCATACAAAAACTCCAAATAAAATAAATAATAAAATAATAAAATACAGGATGACAGTGGTTCATTTCCAAGGGAGAGTTGGGAGACACCACCTGATAGATTTCTTCTCTGCAGATATATTTAATCCCCATCAAAGCTCCTTGGAAGCCGGGGCTGTTGCCATCCATGAGCGATATATTCTGTGAAGGAGCCATTTCCTTTCTTCCAGCTTCCCTTCTCTCCATCATTCACTTCCCTTCACTGTCACTTACCAGCTGTAGAACATAGGCTTGCATTCTGCGTGGCCAACGGCTGCTTATCTTCTCCTTGTAGGACCACGAGAAACAGTATGTGGGATTTGCCACCCTACCCAACCAGGTGCACCGGAAATCCGTGAAGAAGGGCTTTGATTTCACCCTCATGGTAGCAGGTAATCCATCCTTCCAGGTACCGCTTGGGCTTTGTGCATTTCTGCTCCTTCAAGAAGGATCTCTGTGTTGTTTTGTGGATTAAACTGCTCTGCCCTTTCCCTTCGTTTGCTTTCTCACCATGGAGCTGGAGAGAGAATAGGAATCACTGCAAAGGGTTCTGTTGAGTCCTGTCTACTTTCATAGCTTTCAAACAGGGAAGAAATGTTTCCGCTGATCCCTTGGCGAGCGTGAGACCTGCACCGTCAGCGCCTGTATCGGGAAGGACTTGGTTCTGTCTCCATGACTCCTAAAATTGTTGAACCACAGAAAGAGGCCTCTGTGAGAGCATGTCCCACCAAAGCTGGGTGGGGAAGCAAATACATGCTCAGAGGGGCTTCCAGCTTTTTTGGTGTCCCCCGCCCACAGTTCCTCTTGACCACTGCCAAATTTTCTGTGCAAACATTCTTGTGCCCCCAAATTTGCTCCCCAACCCTTGGGGTCTAATGCTTGGCTTCCTTGCATGGGATGGGCAGACTGCAGCTGCACCTAATTGGTAGCAGGGGAAGGCACTTTGTACATGCTCAGGGGCATGCTTTTTGATCTTCACACGTTCCAGAAATGAGCCCAGCCACGTTTTTGGGGTAGGGAATCTTCCAGTACATCTTGCCTCTTCTGCTTCTCCAGAGTTGGGGCAGCCTTGAGTCCATTTCTTTGTTCCATGCCTCAGGAGGGACTTTGTGTCAAAATCCTCCTTTTGCAACAGAATAGCATTCTCTGTGGGTGTTGAGGAACGGAGATAAGAACTCGATGGACTCTGCTGAGAAGCGGTGCTGCTCCGAGAATGGGGAATTCTAAACGAGAACATCTCCTGTCCGTAAAAGATAGCTTTGCTATTCTTGAAGGGTCGCAAATGCACAGGCTTGGAATTCAGTATCAAAAAACGTAGCCAGGCGGTCTCTTGTGTTCTGTGTCACAGGAGAGTCAGGCCTGGGAAAATCCACCTTGGTCAACAGCCTGTTCCTGACAGACCTCTACAAAGACCGGAAGCTTCTCAATGCAGAGGGTAATGTCCTGCTTGCATAAGCAACATTCAGCCAAGGGTAGTGCTCCATTGGAGTGTTAGTGAAGATTCCATAGCTGGCCATGCTGTTCTGTCCTGGGGGATGTTCCAGGGGGATTATCCCTTCTCACCTCACCTTGCTGCTGTAGTTTGTTTGATTTTGCACTTCTACACCACCCCGTAGCCCATAGGCTATCTGGGCGGTTTACAAACTTGTCTGCGCTGGCCGTGCCAGCTCGCTTGCCATTACCTCTCCATCCTTGGTAACATCTAGGTCGGCCATTCTGTTGCTCCCATTTTATAGGCTTGGCAGGGGGAACTGAGGCCTAAGGGCAGTGGTTTGCTTTTAAGGCCCTTGAGTAAGTTTGTGACTGCAGACTTCTCCGCTCCTGGAATCATCTGTGGGAAAGGGGGCTGAGAGAGGGAAAGCTAATTTGGCGGCCGAGAGAGCCTTTTCTGGTGCTAACTTCGACTATCATTTGCTTCACTCTTTGTATATTAAGAAAGAATCAGTCAGACAGTAGAGATTGTGAAACACACGGTGGACATCGAGGAGAAGGGGGTGAAGCTCAAGCTAACGATAGTCGATACCCCGGGTTTCGGAGATGCTGTGAACAACACAGAATGGTGAGTCATTTTCCTGCCTCACTTGCTGCTTGCTGGGCTGGGCGGGGCAGAGGGGGGGACCGGAAGCTGGGCTGGCTTCCCTGTAATTAGCTGTCCCTCTCTGCTATCTGACTCATCTGACATCTGCAGCACCAATTTAAGCTGGGTGAACTCATGTGGTGCTCACCAAAGGGAGCCGTGGTTTCTTCTCCCGCGGATGCGAAGCGTAGCTATACACCCAGCTCACACGCCGAGTCACCATTGCGAAGCTGGAATGGCACGGGCCTGCCTCTGGGTGGGTGACCACAGTGGAATTGGAGCAGGGGGTTGGACTCAATGCCTTTATAGGTCTCCTCTCCCCTCCCCTGCTCTCCTCAGTCGGAGATCTGTATTCCTTTGGAACGGAGACTTACCCAGATCTGAAACTGGTGGGCACATTTTGGAGAGCTGTGTCGGGGGGTCTCACGAAATGGCTGCAAATGATGGGGCAGATAATTTTGGGAGAGACTGTAGCACAGTTGTACAGCCTCTGTTTGGCTTACCGAGTTCAGGCAGTTGTGTCGGTCTGTCCATCTCTCTCTCTCTGTATTATACAGCTATTTTGTAATGCCTCCGGGTCCTAACCACCCTTGCAAAACCAGCCATGTCCCATATGCTTTTCATGTTACCAGGCGTAACTCACAAAGTCCCCAGAGAGCTTCAGCTGTGGGGCTGTGCAGAAATGAAATCAGCAGCAACACAAACATACTGCCAAGTAAATCCATTCCCACCTCCTCCTCCCAGTTACGGTGAGGATTGCTAAGCCCAGAAGGAATAAGGAATCCCAAGGGAGGTGGCGGGTGATGCCTTTTCCCCACTACTGGAAAAGTCCTGGTACCTTGACCCTGTAAGAGCCAGCTCCATTGCAACACCACCGGAAAGCTTCCATGATTGGCTTCCAAGGCCAACTGTTGATACTAAATCTCTCCTCCTCCCTTTATTTACATTAATAATCCCCCTCCCCACCAAAGCTGTCTAAACAGGTGGCAAGCACCTCTTATACTTTATCTAACTTTATTTATGCATGTGCTTTCTTCCAGTTGGAAGCCTATCACAGATTATATTGACCAGCAGTTTGAACAGTACTTCCGGGATGAGAGTGGCCTCAATCGGAAGAACATCCAGGACAACCGAGTCCATTGTTGCCTGTACTTCATCTCACCCTTTGGCCACGGGTAAGATGAGGAGGGGCTCTTCAGGTGCATTGTGGGTAAGCAAGGTCTGCTGCAGCTTTGCAGTCCACTTGCTCTGTGCAAGCCCAGTATGTCCAAATGGATTGTGTCTCACTGGGTTCAGCGGCCTGGCAGATCCGATCAGGAGGGCAAGCAAGGGAAGCAGGCGCTCTGGCTTTCCTCTAAGTAAAGTTGAGAACCTAACCAGGTGGATTCCAGTTGGCTACTTCCTTGTCCCACCTGGAGGCTTCTTCCTTCCTTCAGATCTCTCCACAAGGCTTTGGCTCAAGTGTGCCCGGATCATGTAGCAGCTTGGATGTGGGATGGGACTCGGGAGATCTGGTTCCCAGGCCATGCTCAGCCTTTGACGCTCACTAGGTGGCTTGGGCTTGTTTTGCCAAGGGCAAAAGGTTCCTTTTGCATCCAGAAGCAATGTGTACACAGGTAGATTCAAGTCTAGAGATTTTATTCGAAAAGAGGCACTACAAAGTAAACAGTTAATAACATGAAAAAGGAAATACAACACCAACTAGGCTGGCTCCCCCTGTCAGCCGCCACTCCCCTCGCCCCGCAAGCAACAAGGAAAAAGCCCTAATTCTTGTCACCTTCCTTGCTCAACGAGATCTCACACTGGCGTTGCATCACACACCTTCTCTCTACCCTAAATCTAAGAGTCAAAATAGTGAACTAGCCACATCTGCTGTTTCGGGCTCTCACAGTGATAAGCTCTGCTGTTTACTTTCCTGCATTCCAATGTTCTACCATCCTAATGAGCAAGAGACGTCCCTTGCATGCCGAAGGGCCTCAGCGGAGGCCACAGGTGAGGCAGGAATAGAAGGCGGCTGTGCTACACCACCTGTCTCCTCGGTATACAATAGTCTTCCGGAAATTTTCCTCTACGGAGTTGGTCCCAGACTCTCAGCTTCACAGGGTTGTTGTTGTGAGGATAAAAGGGTGAGGGGTAGAAACTTGGAAGCCAGCTTAGGTTCCTTGCAAAAGGAAGGAAGGTGGGGTATAAATGTCATGTTGTCGTAACTGGCCATACTGGTTGAAACTGGTAAGAGTTGTGGTCTGGAATGTCTGGAAGACCCCAGATCGGGGAAGGCTGCCCTTGGCTTTTTTTGGTTGACATTCGTAACTGAACCAACCCAATTTGCTGTCTGAAACAAACATGTGGATTGGAACCCAGTGCTTTTTCCAATTCTACCCTCTTCTTAATTGTGTGGTGCCATTTTCCTCTTTAAAAATGCATCCGAATACTTATTTTACTGTAAAATCTTTAAGGAAGTGTGCTGCTTGCTGTTAGGTGTGTATACACATGTGTATTTTATTGCAACAGGTATAAAAAAGTGTGTTAACATAAGACGTACATGAACTGTCTGCACATTTTTGTGTAAAGATGAAACAACAGCAGTGCAGATTTTTGCCTTTTGAGCTTGCAGAGGTTTCTGTCCAAACAGAAGGGAAAGATGATCGTTTCTACCTCCCTCTGAACCCCCTTTGCTGCAGGTTGAGGCCGGTGGATGTGGAGTTCATGAAGGCGCTGCATGAAAAGGTCAACATTGTGCCCCTCATCGCCAAAGCTGACTGCCTGATTCCCTCTGAGATCAAGAAGCTAAAAGAGCGGGTGAGCAGAGCAGCTGTTTCGCTCCAGCTGGGGAAACACTGGCCCACAGCGTGCATTTCTCCTGCACTCTAGAGAGTGTGTTGGGGAGATGGGTGTATTTTAGGTGTGTGCATTTGCATCGATCACACAAGCTCTGATACTGTTAGTGAGTGGAATAAGAGTCAACAAAGAATCTGCATAATGCAGGTAGTATTTCATAGCCCTTCCTGCCATGATGTGGAAGGCAGGTGTAGGCAATTTTTGGTCTCCTGGATGTCTTGGCCAACAGCTCCCATCCTCTCTCACAACTATCACCAGTGGTGGGTCATGATGGGAGTTGTAGGCCAAGACACATGGAGGTCACCCTTTGCCTGTAGCAGGTGTTTTCTCAAGAAATTATTGGAAAGTTGAATTGAACACCTTTTGATAGGTTCCAGTGGATTTTTCCAAGTTGGCTGAGACCAACACCTGCTTTATCTGATGTTCATTGTAGATCCGGGAAGAAATTGACAAGTTTGGAATTAAAGTTTACCAGTTTCCTGAGTGTGATTCTGATGAAGATGAGAACTTCAAGCAGCAAGACAGAGAGCTGAAGGTGAGGAAGAAGGCATGGTTGGATACAGTTTAGCATAACCCTTGGAAACCACAATATCTGATGGAACACCGTTCCTGGCTTAATTTTACCCAGACAAAATGGCCAACATCTGAAGCCTTTCTCTGAACACCACCTGCAAGGGAAGCTTGGAGAGTGTCAGCAACGGGAGGGGGGCTTCTTGGTGGGGGCCTCCAAAGTAAGCATTGATCTCTTCACTGAGACCCACCTAGCATCAATGCCTTCATCTTTTTTGGGCACCCAGTTAAGAACTGCCCTCTACTCCCAGGAATTTAATGATATATAATGGCATATGATAATGTATGCCTGCGCTCTTTTAACAAGTCTAGTATTTTTAAGGGACATTGTTGAAAATGGTGTATATGGATTTTTTATGGTATTTCATAACCTGTAGTGTAGATTGTAATTTTATGAATTGTGAATTGCCCAGAAAGCTTTGGCTATTGAGAAGCATAGAACTGGCTGTAGAAGGTCAAATGGTCAAGCAGATGAATGAATTTGGCTATACTTTCAGACAAGCATGATGGTTTCTGTGTTGGAATTAATTTTTCCCACCCAGGTGATTATTCCTAGGCTGTTCTATGGGAGAGTAACCTGCATGTGGGGCTGGACTCCACTTACCAGGTTTCTCTCCCATGCTCAGTCAGACCAGGAAGTGGACTGGGCTGCAGGCAAGTCCCTGAACACCCGGGAATGCTCACAGCTTCTTTGCACAAAGTGAGGAATACTCTGTGCAACGTACACACAGCCCACAAGTCACCTGTGTGAAAGCAGGGCTCTGCCTGTACCAAAGTGGGCCGCATGACGTGCTTTCCGCTGGCATGGGGTGGGGCTGGGGCAGAGGAAAAGCAGGCTGGAATCCGGGCTGGGCTGAGCTGAGGAAACCTGATGGATTCTCACACACCCCCTCAGCTAAAAGCAGGTTTTTAATTGCCCATCTCCTCCTGTTCTAGGAGAGTGCTCCCTTTGCAGTCATTGGCAGCAACACAGTGGTTGAAGCCAAGGGGCAGAGAGTACGTGGACGACTCTACCCATGGGGCATAGTGGAAGGTAAGCCGTGGACCTGAGCGCCAGACAGCTCTCCCAGAGGGAAGTGGTGCTGTAGTGGAACTGGGGCTCACAGGGACACAATGCCAGCGCTTTTTAATTAGCAGGGTGCTGGCATCCTGACCGAACACCCATTTGGATTTTCGTGTTCCCCGTGAGTCTGGCTGCAATCTTCACAGTAGCTGTTGCGGGCAGGAATGTAGAGTTTGTTCAGCTTAGCTTCCTGCCGTGTTGGATTTCTCAAAGGGGAAGCTTCGTGACGGCTGGCTCACTGTGCTTCAGAATTGCCATGCAGCACTGGTGTTTCAACACTGGCAAAGATCTGGGCCCTAGCGATCGACTTCCGAATGCTGGTGTTTTCTAAAGGCCTGCATGGCCCAGGAGCCCAACACCTCAAGGGGAGATCCTTTCACTGAACCTCCGTGGTCCCTGAGGTCAGCTTCAGAAGACCTTCTCTTCAAGAGAAATTCAAGGGTGACTGTTTGGAGATGGAGGCTTCTCTGTGACGGCCCTGCACAGACGGAGCACCCAAATTCTGAGCGAAGTCAACATGTGTGAACAACACAGTTGTCCTTTTGCTGCCTATTTCCTTGTCATTTTTCCAGGTGTTATGGCCCAACTGTTTTGGGGTGATTCTGTAATGTTTATTCTAGACTGGGGAGCAGGGCAAACTTTGCACACAAGCCGTTTTTATATTGAATTGTGTTACACTTGTGCTTCTGTAGGTTTGAGTTGTATTATTATATTGATTAGGGTTTTGATCGATTTGGGGCTTATCTGTCCTTTGCATCTCCTTGACTCTTTTCCCAGATATAGTCAGGGTATGTGACTTCTGGTCCCAGATGTTTTGGCCTACAACTCCCATCAGCTCTAGCCAGCATAGCCAAGGGAGCATGCATGGCTGTTGTAAGCCAAAACATTTGCTGGACCACGAATTGTTCCCTTCTGCAGTGGCTGGAAAAAGCTCTAAGATCCATGATGGAGAGAATACTGGGCTGGAGTCAGCAGTTCTTGGCATCTAATTGGCACCCAGCTGCGCAGCGCAATGGGCAACTTTTGGGCTAGTCACCCAACTCTAGCTCCTAAAATGGTTGTGATTAAGGATGAGCCTGTGTTGTAGGGACATACATTACGTGTGTGTCTTTGCAATAATTGAATAAAGCTCCGGGCTGATCTAGTCAATTAGGATTTTCCAGGTGTCTCTGCTTCTTCATTTCAACCACCATTCCTTTTGCTGGTTTTGTGGCTTCTTGTGTAGGTTACCCCACCTTGATAAAGGTAGAAATGTCTCCCCGGCTTTTGTTATTGGCAGTAAGAGCTTTAACCAAAAAGTGGCACGAATGCCCTTTTGGCCCTGTTCTCCAGTTGAATGTGACCCCAGGAATTTCTCCAAAATTGAATTTTGCTTTTGGGCTGAAAGAAGAGCAACATGCTTGATCTAAAGGGGTTTGTGTGTATGAATACATATATAAATTTAGTTCGATTATATTCAGCCTTTCCTGGGGTGATTGCATGGCTCCCCCAACCCGTTGTGTTTTATCTTTGCAACTGCATTGTGCGATTGGCTAGTTAGGCAGAGAGAAAATGTCTGGTCCAAGGTAATTCAACAAGAAGCTAACCACTACCCCACGCTTCCTTCTTTGTTTCACCCCTTCCTTTCCTCCACAGCTCTTCCCTTCGAGATTGTCTGTTGCTGAACGTGTAACACATGCATTGTCTCTCTTTTTGTGCTGCCTCCCCAGTGGAAAACCAAGCACACTGTGATTTTGTGAAGCTGCGAAACATGCTGATCCGAACCCACATGCACGACCTGAAGGACGTAACCTGTGATGTTCACTATGAGAACTACCGCGCACAATGCATCCAGCAGATGACCAGGTGGGTCCTCTCCAGCTGTGGGTGCCTAGGTGTCAGTTCAGCTCCTTCTGGCTTTTATACACTGGCTATTATGGGCTGTTTCAGAAGGCTTAAACATGCCCCCACTGTGACTTAAAGAATCAAACCATGGTTGGCTGTGGCGCGTGCAGGCAGCCTTTTTGCAAACCATGGCTTGTGGTGTGAACGCAGGAACTGTGTGCTATGTGAGGGTTAAAGAACAGAACAGGGAAGAGTATTTAGAACAGTCACTTGACACAACCACCCCTGGACAAACATAGAATATGCAAATTCTTGCATGTGCTTCAACAACCCAAGGTGGACTGTTTTGACTGTGAAAGCTGGACCAGTATCTTTTCTATCAAGATGCCACTGTTGGTATTATGATTTGGAGGACCTGAGAATGAGAATCAGCAGAGTCTGATGGAGAAGCACTTAGTTTTATTCAGCTTGGGACCTTAAAAGCATCTCTGAATGCCTAATTGTTAACAGAGAAGCAAGGCAGCTCTCCATAGGGAGTGAATTCTGCCATATGGTGCCACCACTAAGAAGGTCTGTATTGGCCCAGAATGTAGAGAGTTTTAATCCCTCATTTAATCAGACTTGTTTATGAATGGTGATCCCATTCCTTATGTGTTTGGAACATTGGCCATTCAGAACCTGATTACCGTGGGTAGGTATCTGGGGACAGAAAGGGGACACCTGGAAAGACCCCAAATGACAGTGAGCTGCAATGATTAGTGACATCTGCTGGTGAGGAGAAGCTCAGCTCTTGGTTTATACAATGCTGCCTTCTCCAAACAAGCACCTTCCAGATCTCAGGGAAAGCTGCAGGAGGCAACAAGATTTGTTGTTTCTTGAAAAAATGTTCCAGAACTAATCCCTGGTGTTCCCTCTTGGTTTGGCATTATAAGCATTCAGATGTTCAGCCTTGAGGAGAGAAGACTGAGGGGGGACATGACATCCCTCTAGAAGTCCCTCAAAGGCTGTCACAAAGAGGAAGGCCAAGATCTCTTCTTGCTGATGCTGGAGTGCAGGACACGGAATAATCAATTCAATTTGCCTGGATTCAGGCTGGACATCAGGAAGAGCTTCCTCACTGTCAGAGCAAAGTGACAGTGGAACCAGCTGCCTGGAGACGTGGTGGCTCTCCCACACTGGAGCCATTCAGGAAGGAACTGGGCAGCCCTCTGAGTGTGACGTGGTGTCCTGCAACAGCAGGGGGTTGGACCTGATGGCCTTCATGGCCCCTTCCAACTCTACTGTTCTATCATTCTATGTACCAAGTATGGACAAATGGAAGGGCACTCTAAGCAGATGCATTCTGGGTGCATAGAAGCTTGGCATGTAGGTCTGAAAGGCACAGTGAGAGTTTCACGTCTTGGCTTCCAGCGCGAGACGCTTTGGGCCAGCGCTGCTTGTACAGCAAATGGGTAAGAAGGCGAAATCGAGCTGGGTTTAACCCCCACTTCTTTTCCTCATTCTTCTGTCCCCACTTCAGCAAGTTGACTCAGGACAACCGGATAGAGAGCCCCATTCCGATCCTGCCCCTTCCGACACCAGATGCCGAAACAGAGAAACTGATCAAGATGAAGGATGAAGAGGTAAGAATCTGTCTGTCCTCAGCTGCTTACTCAGGTGAAACCTTTTAGCCTCTGGCAAAAAGCCCGTCTGTCTATTTAAAACTTTTCTATACTGTCCTGTCAGACATCTTGGGACAGTTTACAACAGATTAATAGAATACGAATACGAATTTCCTTTCACCCAGCCATGCATTTGGCAGCTTTTAAGTTTTGATGAATTTTATTCATTACCTAGCAGATGGTTTTGTTGTGATTTATTTTCCCCGTACTACTTTTATAGTACGATCCCTTTAGATCTCTAAATGGTTCACCCAGTGGTTCCAGTGAGTCATCATTTGTTCTCATAGCAGGTATGAGTCCCTGTAAAAGCAGCAAGTGTTGGGGACACCACCACAAAAACAATACTGAATCAAAGCAGTATTGTAATCTGTTACGATTATTGTGATTTGGGTTTCGGATGGTTTAGATTTGGAACAGCAGTACATTTCGGGGTTTATAGTCCATAATATTTATTTATCTATTTATTTAGAGTTTTTATATGCCGTCCCATTGCTTATAGCCTCAGGATGGCTCACATAAATGCTTATAATACTTGGTGACAGTTTACCACGTAGAAAGCCAAGCAGTCCAGCACCGGTGGGAAGGCAGGGTGTTGAAGTCTGGACACCAAGCGCCACTGCCTCTTCTGTGCCTTGTCTCCCGGCAGTTGCGGCGAATGCAGGAGATGCTCCAGAAGATGCAGCAGCAGATGCAGGAGCAATGAGAGGAAGCTGGGACAGACGGGCCAAGGGGATCCTCTCGGTGGCGAGTCGGCCATTCAGCAGGAATCATGAACACTCCTGGAAGGACTTTCCCGTTGCAAGGAAGAGGAAGGGGCACAACAGACTTGTGAGCGTGGATGGCACTTCTGCTCTCTCCAGTATGATTGTAGCCTGACGGTGCAAAGGTGGAAGGGGAGAGCTTGCTGAGAATCGCCTCCTGTCTTCAGAGTATTCCCATTGCTTCCCAGTCTTTCCTAGGTGTAACTCAACGCTTGTTTAGGGAACATCCTGGTATTTAAAGAAAAGAAATCTCCATTTCTATGGCATATGAATTTTGAGGACTCTGTGGAAAATGCACGTAAATGTTTACTCTTAACCAAGGTGCTGTGATTCTCTTCCTTTTCCCCCACCCTCTAAATACCTCCCTTTTTAGAAACTCGGTATCTTTCAGAAGACACAGCAAGTCCAGCTAGGCCAACGATACCTCTGAACCAAGTGCTCCTGGCATGGGCCCCACCTGGTCTGACTGCATGTCGGTGGCATTCCCGGGCGGTTGGTTTTTTCCCAGCCACTTCAAGGGAAGAGCTGCACGCTGGTTGGGCTTGGGGGTGGGGTGGGGTGGGGTGGGGTGGGGCTGGGCTGTTTTTCACTGGGTTTCTCAAGGCATTCCTGGCTGATTTATTTCACTTTCCTACTAAGAAACTCAAGGCACTTTTGCACTAGCGGGGAAGGAGGAACTGGAGATGACCTGCTTGGGGGGGCTGTAAAACAGCGCCTACCGGTTCTTGTTTTCGGCGAGATATGTTACAGGCAGGGAACTGCATGGATACTTGGTTCTTCTAGGTGGTATGGAATGATACAGAACAACCTTTGAGGTAGAGCATCACTTTGTCCCAGTGGTCCTGACTACTTTCTTGCCAAACTAAGAGCAAAACTGGATTCTGAGAAGAAAGTTTAAATGGGTTTCTATGCTACATGGGGGGCTTCTCCAACGCTCCTTTTTCCACAGCATCTCAGGTTGCCTTTTGAATTTTCTCTGTCCATCTAAAACAGACTTTGGAGCCACATGGGTGCTTCTGCTGATCTGGAATTTGTGCCGTGGAGTTGGAAGGAGGCTGGCTCAGATCCGTGTGAGCAGTGCTGACATGAAAAACTACTTTGGCGCCTGGCTGATCTTGCCCAGTTGGGCTGCATGATGGGTTCCATAGTCTCAAGGCTGGTGGATGAGATGCTCGCAGTATTACAAGTCCACGACACCGTGAGACCAAAAGCAAAGCGCATGCGGGTGGAAACATGCAGGTGATGTGAGAGAACGTAAAATCTAGGAGCCTGACACTGGACAGCACCTGTTGAATTGTACAGGCAGGGTTATTTTTCCTGAAGCAGCTTATGAAAGCACTTTTCAAGGTGGTAGTCCTGTTGGATGTTCTTCTCTGGCCAGAGATCATTTCTTGCTTGCATCCTGGAGTCCTCATTTAACACTGCAGAAATCCACACACTGTGTGCAGTGTGTAACTAGGGCCGGATGAATGCTCACCCCTCGGAGGTGAGGCCCACCGTGTAATAATTCGCAGGCCTGTCACACCCTGGATCCCCCTCGTCCCCCATGCAATGTGGTAGTCAAGTCTGCATCCGCTTGTTTCTCTCTCTTGCTTTTAGGGAAGGAGTGGGAAAGTGCTGTCCCAGTATCCCCATTATTCCAATTCCTGACAGCCCTTTGCATGTCAGTGGTCGGGGTGATGGTAGTGGAAGCCCAGCCGCTTCTGGGGGGACGCAGGGTCCTGGCTTCCGCTTTAAGATCACCAGACGCAAAGGCGGAATGAAGCATGTACGTGTCAAATGATCGCAGCCCGTGTATCCTTGGCAGAGCAGCCTGTGCCGCAGGCATGGAAAAAAGAGTGAGCTTTCCACAATGTCTTCTGCACGGCTACAAACGACAAAGGAATTTTGTCCTCTGCGTTATGTCTCCCCCTTCTATCGTTTGCTTGTTTCTGTCTTTTCTCTCTGTTAAGAAAGAAAAATGAAACTGGATTGAAGCAGTGGAGGGCGAAGGAGGGGATATTTACCAGCCTGCCCTGCCCGCTGCCTCTCGGATCCATATTGCCCACTCCCACCCTCCACAGGGCTTGCCTGGGTAGCAAGCTCAGCCCCCGTTTCCTCGTAAGAGCTCCTCTTCCTCTTCCTCTTCCTCTTCCTCTTCCTCTTCCTCCTGTACACCAACACGATGTTGTAAGGAAGAGGCCTCCTTAAGTGGGAGCCCCTGACCCGGAGCGGGCGGTGCTTTCACCTGGAGGCAGAGGGGCCTGTTGACAAGAGATAAGCCTGCTCTTTTTTCTGCAGCAGTGACAATGACGGGTTGCTGCTTGTGCCTGGGCTTCCCTGATAATGCGCTGCTCTGAAGGAGACCAGTGGGACCCATGTGCTCATTCCACGGCACCGCATGTGTCTGTGTGTGAGGAGGCACGGCTCGGTTACCCTTCTGTCTTTCAGATGTCCTCAATTCCAGGGCATGCCCCGAAACCTCCCCCTGAATCCATTTCCTCTTGGAGGTCCTGTGAAGTAAGCATTATCGTGCCTTTGGCATTCTCTTTCGCTGTTCCTTCAATGTGTGCCAGGATTTTCCATGTAATTTTTGATGCTTCGGTGTGATGAATTGCTTGCAAAATGCCGGGTTTGGTGGGGAGGGGGAGAAATGCAGACAGATGGGACTAGAAGTAGATGTTTGCCATGTGGAGTGAAGGGAGCAGGGAAAAATCCCACGTGGGCAGTCCAAATGTTGGTTCTTGTTATATATACTGGTAGTGTGGTAGCTCCCAAGAGCCTCATCCATTGCAAGCAAGTCTCTCTTTTCATCTCTTCCTCTTTTTTTAATTCGAGCTTATGTGGTCACAGTACAGAATAAATCAAAATAGGATTCTCCTTGAGATAGAAGAGAGTTACATCCATGCCTGGATTTAAATGGATTTAAATGCCCAGGTAAAGAATTAAATCCATGTCTGATTCTGAAAGGTCTCCCTCTTTTTCCAGGGTGGGTTGGTTCTTGCACTCGGAGAGCCTTCTCCAGGTCACCTTGAAACTGCCAAGTCCTCTGCCCCTCAGCCTCCTCCTCAGAACTGAGCAGGTGGTAACCTGGGAGAGCCGGGCCCTGCGGAAGGAACCTTGACTCAAGCATCGGGCAGCTCCTCTCCATACAGAAAACCCAGGCTCCGTCCCTCACGTGTCCTGTCAAACAGAACCCCCAGTTATATAGTGGTCTCTCTACCCAGGACTGGAAATATGCACCTTTCCAAACCGTTCTGTCTGTTTCATGAAGTGCCAGGTGCCTCTCGTTCTGTTGCCATCTGCTTATGGATGGATTTTCACCAGAAGCTTGCCCTGTCTGTGCTAATTCAAATTGCAATGATGTGCAATTTGACTGATGTGCAAGTGCGCATTAGCACTATTGTGAAGTAGGATAGCCCCCCCCCCCCCCGCCCTGCCAAAAAAAACCCCCTATTTGCAAGCCTATGCCGTGATTGTCTTTCTCCCCCTTTGGAGTTCAGCATAAGGACTATTTTATGATGCTAAATCGCAAGTGAGCAAAACTGGCTGTAGGTTACAGGTCAAGGGTTTTATAGGAAACACAAGAGAAGCTTGTCCAGTAATGCCAGACAAAGGTCATACAGAGGTTTAGAGTAATTCGCATTAACTTCCCTGCTGTTCCAGCAAATGAGGTCCTAAAATGGAATCCTTGAGGCAGTTCCCTCTTTTTCAGTTCCCATTTCTTAGGACATCTCAGTCCTAGTCATTGCTCTCCTCCCCTTAGTGGATTCCCTCTTGCGTTGATCGTGCCCATTTCCGCCTCTTTCTTCTCTTCAGGAAAGCTGCTGTTTCCTGTGGGTTCCAGAGAAGCATGACTCCCGTGTCTGTTATCTGCGTTTTCTTTCTCCTTGGTGCTCTGTTCTGGGAGTCCCCAGCCCCCACTTTGTACAAAACAGAATCTATTCTCATTTCTTTTTGAGCATCCTCTGCAGAGACGGAGGCCCTGTCCTTACTATTTGCATCATTTGTGTGACTTGGAGGAAAAAGCAAGTCCTACTCATGGAACATCGAACTCCTCTGAATCCATTTTGGATTTCTCTGAGATCCTTGTTTGCAGCTCTGGAGAGCGGCTGCCAGTCAGAGTATGCAATACTGGGCTAGATGAAGATAGCAGCTTCCAGCGTTCTCACATGGGTGGTGAAGCATGGCTTCGAGGGTGCGATGACACGTTTTAAGACACGCTGGTCACTCCTTTGCAGGCACTTGCACTTGCATTGTTAAATGTGCTTGTGACATTTCACACAAGTCACTTCCTTTGTCATTAACAGTAAGTCTGCTCTGAAATGGGGAAGGCTGACTCGTTCGTCTTGCTTCCAGCAAAAAAAGCACTTCTCTTCAAAACAAATCCAAACCCAAATGCCATGCCTCCTGAAGCCCAAGCTCTGCAGGACGGCAGTGGCAGATTAATCTTGCCTGTAAGAGCAGGGTAGGGCTAAAGCAATGCCTGAAGGCAATGGCTGCATGCTGTAATGAATTGGGAGCTTCTGGCCCTGTGCAGGCGCTGTGTTAATGATGTTTGCTGCTGACCTGCTATGCCAACAGGCGATTCAAAATCACTTCGTAAAATCCATTGGAATGAATTGGGAGCTTCTGGCCCTCCGCGTAGCGATATCCCCGAAGAGGGTCCTAAAGGCAAGCCGGTGCATTGATTCAGATCAACAACCTGCTCCCAAGAGGTCTCCTGCGCTTAGGAGCAGGGCTTTCATGGCGTGTCACTGCTCATTTCAATACTTAGCATCACGCGGGTGGGGGAATAGATTGTTGCTGGGAAAATTAACCCCCCCCCCCCCCGAGCTACTGTGAAGATTGTAGGGAAGTTCGGAAGGCACAAGGAATGCTGTGATTGCACTACACCACGACCCACCCCCACCTATCCAGGCAGTAAATGTTGCTCGGTGTGTTTTGAATTAGAGTGGATCTTTCGTGAATCTATTGTGAGGTTAAACGTTCAGGTGTCTTCAGAGCAAAACAAACCAATGAGAAGGATGCTGCAGTTGGTTTTGGAAGTCTGTGCAAACCAGACGGTTGGAGAGTAAGAGGAGACAATGTTCTAGTGCATGGAGAAGAATTGCTGGCGAGAGACCCTTGATTGGATGACGGGTGCTCAGTTGATGAGGCGTGGTACTTTGAGGTGGAATTAGTGGGGCAGGAGATGGGGGGCAGAACCGGAGGGGTGGTCTCTGCTCCTCCTGGTTGTGTGAGGAGACCCTTCACACCAAGTCATGCATGAAGGGGGCTAAGATGGACTTGTGCTTAGAAGAAATGATGCTGCGGTGAACTTTGATGGAGTAAAACCAGGAGTAGGAGTAAAACCAGGAGTAAAACTATTGTGTCTACGGAAACGCCACCATGTCCATCTGTAAAATATTGCAGAATTTGGAAAGATCGTGAAACGGCTACCAGGGGAACCCCAGGATAGGGCAAGGGTCAGGGGCATCGCTGATATTACTGAGCCCTGCCCGTAGGGTACATGACTGCATAAAATATGCATATTTATACTGAGATATGCAAATATGGAAGTATTAGGTTTGTTTGGATTTCACAGGTGGCAAGGACAACCTGTTAATTTCTCATCCAGCTTTGTGAAGGTGCTTCCTGACCCCGATCACCCTGAATCCGTGAATAGTTCACCAGCTTGGAAAAGACTTTTTGGGAAAAGTGCAGGAACATATGGGAATGTGGAGTTAACCCTTCCCTCCCTAGATACAGTCCACTGGAAAATTGCCCCCTGCTTAGCAGATAAACTACAGAGAGGATCCCCCCTTCATTAGCACCAGTGGATACTGCGTTCTGTGAATTATATTTGGGCCCCCTGGAAATATGTTGAAGGCCAGAGGGCCAGCCTAGCAAAGCCCCTGGGAAAGATCTTTCCGTTAGACTGTTGAGGCTTGGGTGGTGCTTTTGCAGACATCCTTAGAGAACGATGAGTGCCATTTTGTGATGGAGAAACAGGAGAGGAAAACACTCCTATTAAAAAAAATATTTAAAAACACTCTATTTATTTAGAGGTTGTTCCCTGCTCCACAGTGGAGGAGCCGTTTTCCTAGCGGAGAGCAGGTCATTGGGCAGTCTTTGGATAGGGATGTCCTCAAAAGAGTGGGGAGCCCAGAAAGGGTTGGGTGCAGGGTGTGTGTGTTGGTCTGAGTTTCAAAAGCAAGCTTGAGAGATGTTGCCTTAAAGGAAATTGCCTTACCCCAACATTACACTGAATTGTACCAGAAAGGTTGGTGAAATCTGTAGTTGATGATGTCGGATTCAGGAAAACTACATGGGCGCTTGAAAGAAAAGGAAGCACAGTCGATTTGTTAGAAGCTGCTTTTCCACAACTGATGATGGTCTGTTGAAGGTTGCACAGATCCTGATGGGTTTCAACTGATCGTTTCGCTGGCCAGTTATACATCAGCGGTGGAACCGCAGGGGGCAGGTCCCCTTAGTATTCTACTGGCCCTGGCACCCTCAGTGACTGCTTTGTTTTATTTTTAAGTAAGCTACGGGGTGGCACAATCTGGCTCAAATGAAGGGAAGCAAATGATGTTGGGGCTCACGGAATTCATCCAGGCCCTTCTGCTTCCCCTCGCCCGTACTTGAGCACTACCCAAAACGCGATGAGCCCAAAAGCAACGCTTCACTCTTTCCCCTCCAGGTTATGCCTCTGGGCCAAAACAGGCGGTCCTTTAAATCTGCGCCCATCAGCAGTGACTTCTCATTGTCCTTTGATACTCTGGAGTAGTTCAGGATGGGTCCAACCTGGATTTTCAATGTTCCCACCACCACCATGCTCAGTGCTATTTTTGAAAAAAAAAAAAAAAAGGTGCCGGAACTCACGTCGCTGCCAGCAGTAAGCACTCGGCGCGCGACCGCACACACCAATCTCAAGCCGAGCAGCGCCCTATCAGCGCGGACACACAAGCAGCCCGCAGGCACTATGTTAGTGATGTTTGCTGCTGACCTGCTGCGCCGACAGGCGATTCAAAATCACTTCGTAAAATCCGTTGGAAGAAAAGGTGCCGGAACACCGTTCCAGTTGTTCGATGACAAAAAAAAGCCCCAACCATGCTAAGTCTGATCTGAACTGCCTACTCTGGGTTCGCTGCAGACTAAACCATGACATTTACGAAGCTGCTAGACGGAGAGTTAAAGGAAAGTCTATTTTAGCTTTCCAGGCAGGCTCTTGCTGGTTTTGTGTTTGGGAGTCTTTTGGGGATTGTTGGGGGCAAAGCCTGTGCTTGCACCCACAACACGTGGGCCTTGGGTATGCAGTGTCTCGTTGGAGAAGCAACAAGCCTCCTTCTGGCCAACTCACTCTTGCAACTGGGGGTTGGTTTCCTGTGCGAGCTTCGTGTTTGTTCTCACAGTCTGCTCTGCATGCCTTTTTTTCCCGGGGTGGGAGGCTGATTCCCCGCACACCTGCCTTTTTCGGGCTCCCACACCACACCGTCACAGCCCCATTGTAAACTGTGGCTTGTTGCAACTGCTTCTGTGACACCCACGCTTGCCTTGCTCTGTACAGCTTTCCCCTTCCTCTTTCTTCGTTTTTGTTTTGTAAATTTCTGTTGAACATTTTGTCGTTGTGATCAAAGAGAACAGATCCTTTTAAATATATCCATTTTATTAAAATTATTATTATTAATATAATGTTTACTACCTGAACTGATCTATGAAGTAAAGTAAAAACAAAACCATGCATTTCTGTTGTACTGGTGAATTAATGTCCATGAACTTAACTCGGTATTGAGCTTTACAAATTCCTAGACAGCAAAAGTAAAGGATTTCTAAAGAGCTGAATTTCAGGTGGGATCCTGCCACTGCGTGAGGCAAAGGGAACATGGCCAAAATACCAGCATATTTTAGATTAAAGCTCTTGCCACCCCTTCAGCAGGCGGCATTTTGATTGCTTAGAAAGGAGGAAAAGCTTGGAAACCAAACCAGTGATCAGTGGCTGGAGAAAAGGCAGTGACACCAGGAGAACGCCCTGAAATTCTACATCTCTGCTATACAAAATGGCCGGATTTGCTTTTCCTGAATTAATAGTCCATTCACTGCTGCTGCATTGCAGCTCTTGGGCTTTTTAAATGTGTCAAAATACACATTTAAATGGATATTTGGAGAGGAAATGCATCTTTACATAATGTTTTGAGAGGTTCTCTTTTGTTCTTTAGAGAAAGAGAAATATGACAAAGCGACTGAGTTATAGGTAAAAGCATGTAAAAGTGTCTGAGACTAGGAAAGAAAGCTTTGCCCAGCCCCAAGAGGAAGCCATTGCATTTATTGGATCCTAGGCCACCCAATACCCAGGTTCTAGCTCTGCCATGATCAGAGCAGGGCTCCTGCAAAAAGTTGACCACCATCAGCCTGAACGATGCTTGGTCCCCAAGTGGTCAAGTTCAAGAATTGGAGTGAAGAGCTTTTGGTCAGCCCAAGGATTCTCTCCAGGATGAAGGATAGTGAGGTAGGCTGAATGGAGATCTCCTTGTTGACATCAATGCGACCTGAAAGCAGACTGAGGTCTGGACAACCAGAACTCCCTCAGGCTCCACCACTTCCTTGCAAAGCAGACAGTCTTAAAGCAACCAGTTGGCACTCTTGAAGGATGGGTGGACTGTTACATTTTGGGTTCAAACCTTTGTGCCTGGCCTGGCATTGCCTTCCCTGTGTATGACTCTGTTGTTTTCTTGCATGGCACACTTCCTTCTTTCTCAGGATGTGGTCAACGTTTGTTCTTAACTAAGGATAGCATATGCTGTTGGGCTGTCAGAGCCTTCAGTCCTACTGCCAGCTCTATCCAGTCCAAGGACACGCCATCAGCCTTGGCACTTTCCTGTTCCTGGGAAACGATCAACGGGACTTCCAAATTCCTGGTAGTACAAGATGTTCCAATATCTTTGGAAATGTTGGCCTGAAACTTTTTTCCAGTAAAACCTGGCCGGTCACTTACTGAAGACATGGTCTGCATATCTTCAGCTGCACTAGACAACGGGTTTGTCTTCACCATCTTTCGAGGTCCTCCCCTGAACCGGCACAGAAAACAACCGCAAATCTGTCACCAGGGCTATATGGAGTTGCACATACAGAAATGGGAGCTGTTATGTCCCCGTTCCCCTGCCGCGTACTCACAATAGACCATCTGCATCTTAATACAGGGCCCTGAAATAGGGTGCTGAAAAACTGCAGCTCACGACATTAGGACAGTCTTATTTTGGGTGCTGTTTTATTGTTGTGAGACTGCGGCTCAGGGGTGCAGAACCTCAGGCTCAGGGGCCGAATCTGGCCCTCTAGAATTCCTCAGAGGCTCACCCCCCATCCCCTAGTTCTACTCCTTTCCTCTGACCACCAAGAGTTGGGTGGTGGTTTTGCACAGTCCAGCCCAGGCCGAGTTAGCAGCACCAAGAGCTTGAAGCTAAAATATGTTGGTTGTATTTGCATTTTGGGTGTTTGGGCCTACCTGTCACTGGAATACGGCCCCCGAGAACTTGTCTAAAAGTAAATGTGGCCCTTGGGTTCAGAGAGGTTCTGTGCTCTGATACAACATAGCTACGGCATTTCGTTCGGTTCACCCGTTCAAACACAATGCTCTAGCATAATGAAACTAAGTTGCCTAGAACTGGACAGCACGGTTAACCATTTTGCATCATCGCTCCCATAATCCCTGACCATTGGCCAGGTCTGGCAGGGGCTGGCTGGAGTTGTAGTCCAAAAAAAAGGGGAAGCCCCAGGTTCCTTTTATCTGATATAAATAAGATGAAAGTCTTGTCTTATTCGAGGGGAGATGGAGAGAACTGGGCATGTTCAGCCTTGAGAAGAGAAGACTAAAGGAAGATCTGATAGCATTCTACAAGTACTTGAAGGTTGTCACAAAGAGGAAGGGCAGGATCTCTTCTTGATCATCCCAGAGTTCAGGACATGGAATAATGGGCCCAAGTTACAGGAAGAACCAAGAACCTCACACTAGAGGCATTCCAGGTGCAGCTGGTCAGCCACCTGAGAGGGATGGTTTAACCTGGAGTCCTGCACAGAGCAGGGGGCTGGATGGATGGATGGCCCTCTGACCCCTTCCAACTCCTATTCCATGATTTTTTTTCTCATAGCAATATGTACTTTTGCATTGACTTTATGTTCATCTAACCATTTTTGATCCAGCTTACAGAGCAAGTGAGGGATTTGCAGGCTGCCCAGTATTAAGCATGTTTTCTTGGAAGTAAATCCAGCTGAGTGCATTCATGCTTCCTTGCAGGTAAGTGCGCCTGGGGCCACATCCTAAGACTAAATGCACTAACCGGCATGCAAGCAGCATCGTGTGCAGCAGAATGCAAGGGCTGCATCGCTAGGCAGAGGAAGACTTTTATTTTTATTATTACGGTTGCTACTACTTCTAATACTGATTTTTATTTCTGTACCACTCAAGATGTGAGGCTGTCTGGGTGGTGTACAGTAATTCATAAAATGTAATGAAACACAGTCTAAAATACAAATAATCACATACACCCCAATCATATTATCACTACATATATATTATATTTATATACATATATATTATACATATACATATATGTATATGTATACATATATATAATATACATATATATATTATATACATATAATATATAATACATATAATATATAATATACATATATATAATATACATATATATTATATTATATTTTCACTACAGACATTTAAAAACCAGAATTTGAGCCATGTAAATAACTAAGGCATGTTAATACAACTTGGCCTATTTTAAAAAGTGGATATAACCTCCCTTTGCTCTTTAGAGGTGTTCAATCCTTGGTAGAAAGGAAAGATCTGATGCTGAAAGCATAGCGTAGCCGGCGGCAGGCAGGCCACAGTGGCGAGATCGTGGCACCACTGAACGGACGCTACAGAGAAGGCTCTGTTCTTTGTGACCGTCAGCCAAGTCTGTTAGCGATGCTGGGGAACAGGAGCTGGCAAAGAGAACATCAAGACCTGCTTCAGCTGAACTGCCCTTTCCCTGGGAGTTGAGAGGAGGAGCAGAGCTGTTCTATCCATCCTGCTGAAAAATCTGCTTACTTTCCCCTCCTCCTCCTCTGCCTTTGCCTTCATCTCCATTTCTTCCTCCTCCTCCCCCTCCTCCTCCTCCCATTCCTTTTTCCTTTGGTGCCACTCTTTCAGCTTGTAAACCTTGGGCAGGGATGGGCTTTAAAAAACTTAGCTAATAGATTGAAAGATGCTCTGAGAGCCTTGGTTTGGCTGAGGAGTGGAATAAAAGTAGCTGAACTAAATAGGCAGCAACTAAATAAACTTTAGAGAATCCGTCTGATGTTTTCTTTCTCTTTATCACTCTGCCTGCAGACAGTGCCGCAAATATAACTTCTCTGTGGGCTGCGCTGGGGAGCCCCTTCATCAGCTGGAAGGGCCCTCTGCCCCGCACCTTATCTTTCCGGCACATGCAGGCATTCGGTGGAGATTGCCGAGCGGTGCATTTGTGTCTTGTGCAGCCAGCTAGCAACACTTCGGCTCTCATTCCCGGAGAGGAGCTATCCTGAACTGGTAAGTCCACAGCCCTTTTTAATCAGTTGCACTGGGAACTGCTTTAGGGTGTTGGGACTTCTAGGCCAGTATTGACTGGGTTCAGACACACAAGAATCTGTTGTACCTGCGGTGTTACAGACGAGACCAGAGACCGGATGGTAAAGTAAAGTGGAGATTTATTACCTGCAAGATTTCTTGCAGGGACCAACATTCATGGTTAGAATGCGGCACCGGGTGGAGTTTGAATGAGGTTTTTATAGCTTCACAGTGAGTTTTCGGTAAATGGGAAACAATACAATCAGTTTTTGACAGAAATCAGAACAATGGCGACAATGGGGAGTTACAGAATCACATAAGCAGTTGAGCAAGCGATATACAGAAGCAGATTTGGTTAGCAGTAAGTTTTTTTATCTTTTAATTTACACCTTCTAAGCAATCTTTGCCCATTACGTCTTTGGTGAGCTTTTTCCATTTTCTGAGGGAATTCTCTGAGGCAGTTACTAGACATTTGAATGGGCTAGAGCTTAGGAGAGCTAAGCCTATCATGCAAACCCTGAGACAGCTGATTATTCTAGTGTTTGACCGTGTCATGCCTATCTGGAGCCTAGAGGAGTCATGCCTATCCTGAATGCCCCGAGAAAGCTGATAGGTATCTCTATTATGTCAGGATCCTGGGGAGGCAGGTACAACAAATCCACATTCATGGGATGAGTGTGGGCTGTATCTCAGGAAGAGGATGAGCTGTCACATCACTTGCTCCTACCTGATCTTTTTAAAAACTGGGCGCAGCAGGGTAGCTAGCCCATTTCAAACCCCAGAATTAACTCAGCCAGAACCAGGCAATCCAAAGTGCTGCCCCAAGGCACTTTATTTTGCAGAATTTACACAGAAGTAGACCTATAGCAAAGTCCTCCTGTGGCACAGCTGTGGCCCGTTACCTGCGTAACATCCCCAAGTTTCACCTTTGACCAATTTCTGTTTTCTTTCTTATATAAAAATGAATAATATGAAATATGTCCCAGATCTATTGATTTTTCTGTTGGGCATCTCTGTTGGGCATTCTCTCCAGAACTTGGCAATAGAAGGGGGGTAGGTAGAGCAAAAATTCCCCATGGATTATTAAGTTACTGATCTAGGTAAATGGACTTAAGTGCTCCAGGTGTTTGTTGGTTGGAGTGAGCAATGAGAATTCATTGTGGAATTTTGGTCTCACAGAGCTAGATTTGTTCGCAAACACTCCAACCAGCCCCTTCCAATAAACACCAATTAGTTCTTAGTGATACAGTTTTATCTAAAGGTTTTACCTGGATAGCTTCCGATACTTTGTTTTGATCTTTTGAATTAATAACTTCTCTCTCCATGGACGGATTTATTTGTGGGGACTTCTTACCGCTCCAACATGCTCTGGAGAATGGCTTGGGGTACTCAAATCCCCCCCCCCGCCACGTTGGTCTGCCTTTGTGTGCATTTAAATACTGAACGCAGTGCCAGCCCTAGCTTTCTGGTGGCCTTTGAGCAAACTCCTTCAATGGGTCCCCTCTCTGAGGGAATGGATACCTGTCTTCTCACCACCAGGTGGCCCTTTCTGCACATCCTCTTCATCATGGCTCCCTCGCTGGCTTGCTTGACAGACAGAGAGATGGTGAGCAAGTTGGTGGGAGCTTTTCTTTCTCCTTCTATTTAGGACCTCCCTCGTCTGGGCCAGGGCAAGAGGCAGGCAGATTGCAGTGGCAAAGAAGAGGGCAATCCCAGCAGCCCTTGCAGTGGGTACTTGTCAGGTACGGAATCATGGCTCCTTTTCACCTGAGCATGGATGGAGAACTTGAACAAACCTTTAAAACCTGGCCTGTTATGTGCCGCTGGGCTTTCCCAGCCTGTGGTCTGCAGGTGCTGCGGGATTAGTATTTATTTAATTTATTTATCAAATTGGTGTTCTACGCTAATAGTCCCATAGGACTTTCTAAGCGAATTACAACATAGCAATTAACAACAATAGATAATAAAATAAAATCACAATATGCCCGTAAGATAACAAGCGCGTAACAATGATATGCATAGTATGACAGCAATGGAACAACAATATACAACAGTGCGTGATGATTACTGCTCAGGCCCCGAGGCCAGTGGGTGGGGGTAATGGGCATTGTTGTTCAGCAACACCAGGTGGCCCTGCTGGGAGAGGCTGAGTGCCTTTTGTCATTGCTTCCCGTGAGCCCTCCATCCGGGACAAGCATTGCAGAAGGGTCAGGTTAAGTGGCCAGGCTTTTGTTTTTCAGAGCTGAAGATGTGTTTTCTGCGGGCCTTCCTCCTCCTCCTCCTCCTCCTCCTCGGCTGCCCTCCTCTGGCCACCGCCACCTGCCCTCATTGGTGCAGCTGTACTGATGATATCATTGACTGCAAAGGGCTCGGCCTCAGTGAGGATGACCTTCCCACCTCCCTTGCCTCGTCAACGAGGAGGCTCTACCTTAACAACAACCAGCTCACCTTCATCCCCAGTGGCTTCTTCGACCGTCTGAAGAACCTCCACACTGTCTCCCTGTGGGGCAACCCCTGGGATTGCACCTGCAACATCCTTTACCTGCGCTCTTGGCTCCAGTGGCAGCAGAATCGAACCATGTACAGAAACATCGTTTGCACCTCCCCGGCCCACCTTGAAGGAAGAATCGTTACCTATTTGTTGGAGGATGAGATTCTTTCCACGTGCCAGTACTGGTACTGTAGCATGGCACTCATCATGCAGATCTGCCTGTTCCTCTTCATCCTTGTGCAAGCGATTCTGCTTTTCGTCGTCCTCGTCTATGTCCGCAGGTTCCAGAGGATAGCCAAGGAAGCCAGGAGGACAACGGCTGAGATCTCGGAGTATGTGGGCTCGTGGAGGGCTGCGGACATGGAGCAAGATGACTGAAGGAGGGGGCGGCTGTCTTAGGGGCTAAAAGATCAGCCGGGGGGGGGGGGGACTGGCGACACCCCGACCTTCCTTTCCGCTTTGTTCTGGAGCAGAAGTGGGGAACTCAAGGGTTGAACTGGACTTTGCAAGAGTCCTCAGAGGCTGCAGTCCGGTGGGGTTAAGGTGAGCATGGGAAACAGCATGGGACCTCCCTGGGCACCCACCCCATTTCCCACAGTGCCCCAAAGCAACATGATGGGGAATGCATGCTTCCAAGTGGGACTTTGGGATTCTTGCTCACCAGATTGCCTTGCTGTTTGAATTTGTAGCCATGTGTTCCTCATTCTTTACTTTCTCACACCTTTTGTAACTACTGTATTTTGCAACTACTGATGGAGCACGGCCTTTCTAAATAAATTCCACAATCGGTTTCCATGATCAGTGTTCTTGTTCCAGCCACTGGGGGAGATCTGGGGACTCCCTTTCACAAGTCTGCTAGCGTGGACTCTCTCTTTTCTTGGGAAAGAAGGTGAGCAGCTCCGTACTCTCCTGGGCTAATCAGTCAAGCCAGTGGTGGGCGGTGCTTAGCCAGCAGTGGGAAGGGCCGGAACCAGAAGTAGGTGGAGCTATCTCTTCTCTCTCTCTCTCTCTCTCTCTCTCTCTCTCTCTCTCTCTCTCTCTCTCTCTCTGCAACCCCATCTCTCTATCATCAGACCTCTTTCTCCCACTGTTTTTCTGCCCCTCTTTCTGCTTGTACCTGTCGATCTCTCTGTGCCACCCCTTTCCTGTTTCTCTCTCTCTGCTAGCATGTTTTTTCTCTTCTTCCAGCCCCGCTGGCTGCCACACGGGGGGTGGGGCATGCAAATGTCTCTTGCTGGGACCTCTTGCAGCAATTTTCCTAACACTGCCCCACAAGGCTAAGCTGGATGCCCTTTCTGCATCTCCATAAATGCTGTGCAGGAATGCTTATGGCACCTCCCGGACCCAGCTTTTTTGAACTGTTGGTGACTGCCTAGAAGACAACGGTGCTTTTTCCCAGCATATTTTCAACCTACACCTTCTGGGCTATTGAAACAGAGCGAACTGAGCTGTGGCTGTACTGGGGAATGCAGCAGTCCCTTTTCAGCCTTCCTCCGTGAGCTTGGAGGCAGAAGGGGAAGGGAAAACAGGCTCGGCTGTAAATCTTGGAACGGGGATGGAAGCGCTACAGATGCCATTCTGATTTCATCTGTGAAATGTCAGGTGAAGGGCAAAGAGTGTGTTTATATCTCTCAGGATCTTTTTCTCTAAAATAAATACACCCCTGAATCCACCCCTTTGTGAATCCATCATCCTGAGCTCAGTGCAAAATTGAATGATAAATCAAACCTATCCAAGTGACTGAATTAGTAGTTTTCAGACCCGACGCAGCGAAAGAAACCTGACAGACGACGCAGTGTATGCAAGCCAAGATGAATGGAGAAGGGCAGCCATGTAGATTTATGGCTACGTTTCCTTGTCAGGACTTATGAACCATTCTGGGGCATGGAATGATTTATGCTCACGTCACTGAGGCTGCTTATGGTCCAAGGAGGTTGGAAAGGGTGCCAGGAAGACATTAAGATCTGGCCCTGCCATGAGGATAATGACGGAGGGGGCTGCTGTTCTCCAGGGATAGGCTTGTTTGTGTATGCAGTAATGATGCCTGAAATGATGGGCTGTCTTCATTTCTGCACTTCAGGATGCTAGCAAAGACACTGAAGAAAGAGTCAGTGTCTGCTTACCTGGGAGTATGCTCACCTGAACTGCATGGGACTTTCTTTTGCATGGGTATGTGTTGCCTTGTGCTATAGCAGCTATAAGAATACTATTATATGATTATGAAGTGGTGACTCTTCATCTTTGGGCTTTGTAGTATTTCAATTTCTCATCTCTCTTTTTAGCACACCTGCAATGGGAAGGTGGGTGGGGGAAGAAATGTATTCACTTTGCATTTTTATGTGGAACCCTTTTAATTGCACACTTTAAAATAAGAATATTATTATATTGTTATATTAAGTTCCCTTCCCTTCCCTTCCACATTCCAGAGGAAGCAAATTTAAAAATGGAAGCATTATCAGACTTTGAGGCAAACCATGGTTAAGACTGGAAAAATGCAAAATTGATGGGTTTGTTTGCCTCGAACCTTGTGCAATCCAGAATAGTTCAAAAGTTGTATCAATTAACTGATAAAAGAGCTTATTTTTCTGCCAGGACAAAGATCAGCTACATAATATCACCCAAGCAGTGGTGCAGAGGCAGATGTTGACACGCCGGCACTTATTCTGACAGTCCCGATAGCCAACCCCGTGGTCCTGCTTATCTCCATCCCGCACACCAAGGAGGTTCCAAGGAATCTCCCGGCTGCCAAGGTGACCCTCCGCCTGAGGAAGTTTGCCCCTACAGGGCTGCCCTAATTGGCAGCATCTCCGCAGTATTTTGCTCTCTTCCCTCTGGGAAGGCTGTTCTTTGGAGGAATATCTGGAGTTCCCGGAGCGTTGTGTGGAGGCATCTTGGGGCCTTGGTTCTGATGGAAGAGGGTGCAGGAGTCAGCTGGCTGCCAGAGCGCCTGGCTTAGGAATAGTATTCCTCATGAGCAGGGCAATATTGGCAAGCAGGCAATCACACCACAGGGGGTGCGGGCCTGGTGCTGAGCTCTGGGTGGGGCTCAGGAGGGCCACACTCAACACCTTCATGTGTTGGCACGGAGAGCTGGCATAAGGTCTCCAAAGCAGCATCTCTCTCTGCTCTGGACCCGCCTTGGTTTGGATTTTGCGTTCTCTACGGCCCTTGCCTTGGAACTGGCCCCAGCTTCACCCTCGGGGTGCTGTCCTTGTGCTTCTGTGAGCAGTAGGCACCTTTTCCAGTTCTACCTCGAGATGCCAAGCTGGGCACTTCTGTGTTCAAAGCAGGGTCCTTTTCCACGGTGGTGGTGGTCCTTCCCGAACACCTCTTGCGTGTTTTGACCAGGTCTTTGAACATGATGGACTCTCACAGGACCCTTTTCGGGATATAGCAAACGTAACCTCTTGTGAGCAAACTGTTCATGTGTCGGTTTATTTTGCAGGTGTTTGTCTTCCATGCCAAGTTTTGCAGCATTTTGGAAAGCTTTACTCTGAGGGAGAGCTGGCTTTTGTTTCCAGCACTTCCTCACTGTGTCCAGAAGGTGGTGCTCAATCCTCACCTGAGTTTTCCTTTCTCTATTACCTGATCTTTCAACACTGCCTTGGCAAACTTCTCCTTCCCAGGATGGGCTTTAATTCCCACCTATTGATCATGGCCGGAAAAGAGAGGTGAAATGGAGATTTTATTTCCAGGACAATGGTTCTCTTATATGAAAAGCCACAATCCCCTTTGTACAAATGCCAGTCAGCAAAATGAAGCACCTTCCCTGGGCTTGTTTTGTACGATTCTCATGTCCATTTTGATATTTATTATTAGCTGTCTGGATTTTTCCCCACTTGAAGACAGAGGAGATGAATTACGAAATGCTTACAGTCCACTGATGGATGTGATAAATGAACAGTCAGTAAGCATTGGATTTAGTTTACAATAATAAGCTTTCTGCAAACCCACCTCCGACCCATATTTCAGTGGCTGTGATAATTATGCTGTTGAAGAATAAATTAGCGTTTCTGTCTCAACATTACCTATTTGGGACTGAGACTGGGATGGGCATATTTTGCACTGTTGGTTTCTCTATTCCTCTGCCCACCCAAATGTAAATTCAGTTCCTCTAACTCAGAGAATTTCTGTAGTCTTAAGTTCATTCCAAAATGTGAGACTTTTTAAATGAGTTATATGAAATTCCTAAGCATTGCTGTGTACGGTTTTCCCAGTACATGCATTTCTGCCTAACATACACATGTTGGGAAGCCATTTCCCAGATTTGTGGCTGGGTAGGCACTGGAACCCAGTTTTCCCAGTACTCCGACCACTGTACCACATTGACACACTGCTTCTGGGTTACAATGTCAGGTGGACATTGGGTGCAATTCCATGCATGGTTCAACGGAAAGGGCCTTCGGTTCCTAGTATTCCCCAGTCATCTCTGCTGGAAGAGTGTTGACCTTCTTTCTGTCTACAAATGTATAGGCCCATGCTCTAAGTGTGGATAAGGTCCATTAGGTTTGCAATCTGAGTTAGCTTAAACTAGAGGCAGAGAGTTCCCAGCTTGTTTGTGGTTAGCTAAACGGTGGTGGTGAAGGAGGAAGCATTGTGATTGTTGTTCGCTGGGGAGAGGATTACTTAGCCAGCCGTTCCCCAGGTGCAGCTCACCATAAGCCTTGGCAGAAGTGAAAGGATCGCAGTGTTAGTGGTCTGGTCAACGTGTTGTGCCTGCCACAGTCTCTGGCCCTCGAATAATTTCAGGACTGTGATTGTAGCTGCCCCGAAAGGGTGGATAATATTTGGAGATATGGGAGCAAAATAGACCTTTCTTCCAAGTGGGGTGGAGCAGAAACCCCAAGCATCCTTGCTAGAAAACTCTTCTGGGGAATTCTGACTTCACACTTAATTTGAATGCAATGCTTCCAGGACGGGTCTTCTTTTGGGGTGGAGAAGGGGACTTTTGGTTTTGCTCTCCCACAAGATTTGCTTCCTGTTAAATCAGCTTTCCCCAGCTGGATGTCTTCCAGAACCCCATGATCCTTGACTGCTGGCCATGTTGGACTGATGGGAGTTGTAGTCCTGAATCTCCAGATGGTGGCAGGTTGGGGAAAGTTGTATGGAACAGCCAGGGCATGTTTTATGGTGGCCAATATCAGAAGGAATGACACATAGCATCTCTCTGGACTTGTATTTGAGCAGGAACAGCCTGGGCAACTTCAGCTTCAGCAGGAGGGTCCAGATGCCCCTTTTCTCTCCTGGTGCCACTTCACGCCACTTCTGACTTTGATAAATAGGCTTCTGAATAAAATGTTAATCTAACGAGGTTGGGGGGGGGGGTTCTTTGGGCCAGGCCTCTGCCCCCCGCCCCGGCCTCCTGCTGACCTTGCTTCAGAAATGGGGAGAAAAACACACAGAGGTTTTATGTCTCCCTGCAGAGTGCTCTCTGCGTTTGATTAATGGGTGGAAAAGGCCCAGCTCTGGCTTCATGGCATCTCTCCCGACTGCAGAAAAATAAGCAAAAAGTCACCCAACGTGACACAGAAAAGAAAAGTTTCAGAGTCGAGAGCGGGCTGAGAAAGACGATGGGGGAGGACCCCCCCCCCCGGTTGCACAGTGTAGTTCCAAACCCTGGAGAAAAGGAACAGTTTGGAGAGCTGCAAGCTACTCGTTTGGGTCTGTATTTGCATCTGTGCCCAAAGGCTCTAGCGAGAGACTTCTTCTACCAAGTTAGACCACTGGCCCTTCTAGCTCAGTGATACCCACCAGCTGGTGCCTTCCAGATGTATTGGAGTACATCTCCCATCACT